CCCGCGCGCCCCGCTCCGCGCTCGCGCTCCACCCACCCAGTCGCGTCTCTCGCACCGACAACGAACGCGAATTCGGACGTGACAGTCTGTCTTGTTTGCCAAATATGCATTGCTAGTATGTGTAGCTACTAGAATTGCAGCAACTGAATCCTTATTTATAGGCAATTTGATGCCTTCACAATATGACAACTTTGAGTAACAACTTGCCAGCAATTTGCCGACAATTTTAAAAGCGTCCAAAAATGGTGATTTTTATGAAAGACACGTTAATTTTTGTTATATGTCATTTATAAATAAAAATTTGGGCAAAACAAAATGACAAGATTGTTTAAAAATAATTGTAAAAATGGACGAAAACTATATGCTTATCCGCGCCTGACAGTCAGTAAATAACCATAAAAAGTTATAAGAGGTACATGAAAAGTTATAAGCCTATTTTCACGTACCTTTTATCACTTTTTATGGTTATTTACTGGCTGTCAAGGGGGATAAGCACACTCTTTATTTACAAATGGTATGTGTATAACAAAAATAACGTGTCATTTGTTGCTTCTGACATCGCAATTCAATATGACTATGATGCTCAAAAGTCCTAATATCCTGTACTTTACTGTTATTATACTAGTAGATATCTCGGAGTAGGGTAGATATCCCGGAGTGTCGTCTTTCTCAAATCTTCACAAGATTAAGTAATCTTCATTCCGTGTTTATTAGGATTTCTCAGATTTATTTTCATCGGTCCAAAAAATTTGTTAATTTTTTTAAGTCATTCGCATTAATTTAATTAAAAAAAAACATTAACTTACTCTTGCAACCCTGATAAAATTATTTAGTGTATATTTTAATAATATATGTTGAATAAAGATTTTATAATTATTTTCTTAATTTATATAAAATATTGATAAAATATTTATTTTATATATACAGGATGTCTAAAAAAACGGATCGAAACACAATGGGGACGTAGATTGGATCAAGGGGAACAAAACAGTTTCGTACCATTTTGCAGTTGACGCAATATTTAACGAGATATTAACGTTTAAAGATAAGCGAATACAAGCGTCCGACCAGCCTACT